ACTGGCGGTGCATGTGTAAGATTGGAGTGTAGTTGACAATTCTTGCATTTTTGCACAAACTCTAATGCATCTTGCTTGATCGTGGGCCAGTAGAAGTCTTGCCTCATTATTTAGAGAGCAAGTGCTCTGCCACCAAGATGCGGTGCATAATTGCGGCGACATGACGCGTTGTGGTGGGGCGTCGCAGCGACACGACGAGTTGCGGCAGTGCATCGCGGCGACGAGTTGCGGCGAAGCGTCGCGACGACGTGTTGCGGTGAAGCGATGCATCGTGACGAAGCGTTGTAGTGGAGCCAAGCATCGCAAAACGCTGCGGCTTTTTGCGGCGATGCGTCTGGGCGTCTTGGCGACACGACGAGTTGCGACAGAGAGTTGATGAGAAGAGTTGCAGTGAAGAGTTGCGGTGTCGAGTTACGGTGACGAATTGCAGCGTCGAGTTGCGACAAAGAGTTGCAGTGCCTAGTTCCAGTGAAGAGTTGTGGCACAGAGTTACGGCGCAGAGCTCCGGTGAAGAGTTGTGATGCCACAAGCGGTGCCGAGTTACGGTGAAGTGTTGTTGTGCCGACTCTGCTCGAAGATGAGCTGATCTGTTGTAGCTTTTATTCAAATACATGTTGGTATTTGTAGTCTTTTTAATCATCTGATGTAACATTTGTAGATTATGATAATGCATTTCTTTGTCGCTTCCACGAATGTTGTGGCATCTTAACTGTACAAAATTCCTTTAAGACGAGCACCCTCTGAAGTTGTGCCCTCTCAAACTGATGCCTTATAGGAGCTTTGAGTGGAGACCCTATCAACCACTTGCTCTTGTGGAGTCTTTTTACTAAAGCCTCTATCCACTACTAGCTTCCCATCGAGACTCTCCTCTTGGAGGATTTCCAGAGGCATGTTTGAAAGAAAAGATCCATTAAGAATGTAAGAACAATTTTGAGTTGTATAACCGGAGATGCTCAACGATTTTAACTCGTAATGAACAAAGTCATGAAATCCACTTAGGATGGTTGACCTATCCTAGGTTGTTGGTCGAAGTTTTTGCTTGACGACCGCAACCTATTATGGAAGAGGTCGAAGGAAATCCACCAAGAATTTTTGACCTATCCGAGGCTGTACGTCGAAGTCTTTGTTTGACGACTGTAGCCTGTAATGGAAGAGGTCGAATCGAGTCCCCCTGGGACCGATTAATCCCAGAATGAGGTGTCAGAGATGCTCTGCGTTTCTCGAAACTGCGGTATAGGTTGCAATGGACCATATGTTTTTTTGAAAATATGGTTGGAGTCATACTCAAGAAAAAATGTTTGACAACTTGTCAGTTATTGCTTTTGAATCTTTTGCCACTTAGCGGAGTCGTTTTCCATGTGAGCTTGTAAAGCAGCCTATGTATGGAGCCTTGAAGAGATCAGCTTCTTGATTTGGTTAAAAAGGAACTCCAGTACAATGAAGGGCGTCGAGGAAGTGCTATTTGCAGTGAAGATTGCTCCCATTCTAGGAGCGATTCTCGTAAACTTGTACTCTGAATGAAATATGAGATGACGTCCCCATCACAGTCGTGCCTTTGCCATTAACATGAATGATATTTCGAGATTGCAGTGTAGGTTGCCCCCCCAGTCTGGAAGAAGTTGTGACATATTTTGTGTCTGAATAAGATGCGAGAAGACAACCCCATTACAATTGTGACCGGGACGTTGACGTAAACGACCTTTCGAGATTGCAGTGAAGGTTGCCCCCATATTGAATAATGCTTTGGAGATGATCTTCAAGATGCAAAAAAGAATCCGTTGTTAATTGGATGATCTACATCATCGGGAAATGAAGTAGGGATTCAACGTCTCAGAGCTGAAGACAACGTCGAATGGTGATTCATTTCCCACAGACGGCGCCAAACTGATGCGTGCTAGAAAATTCGCGGCGGTAGAGTAATGGATTATCGTCTTAGCGTTGCACAAGAATTCAACACACACTCAGATAAAATGAATCGAGCTGTGATCACACCAGAAATTTTTACGTGGAAAACCCGTAAAAAGGGGAAAAACCACGGGGTATGGCCCAGTTGTAAAAATCCACTATAAGTTGATGATTACAAATGCCCCTTGTCCCACAGGCAGGAAAGAGTAACTAGCTTTCCACTTTACAACGTCAACTGATGACGTCTAGTAAGCGATGGTTGACGGAAGTTAGTGATGACTGGCGACGATTAGCGGTGTCCGACGGTGGTCGACAGAGGTCAGCGGTGACTGACGATAGTCGATGACGGTCGGTGGTGGTTGACGGAGGTCAGCAGTGGCTATCGACAGTTTGTGGTGGGCGGGGG